AGGCACTCAGGCAGGCAGGCAATTAAAGCTGTAACTTGCTAAAGTGCTTACCTTGAATGCTGCAAACTCTTGAGCTTGAATCCCAAAGCTAAACAAACCCAGTTTGCTGGTGCTCGCGTATAATGGCAGCACTTCGGGCGTGGGGACACAATGATCAAGAGTTCGAAGCTATTCTCAACACAACTCCCGCTGTCCTGTCTATAAATAAATACATTAAAGGCATTTCCCTGCCAGATGTGGTGGCCCACGCCTTTAATCCCAGCATTCGAGGGGAAGATGCAGGCACATCTCAAGAGTTCGAGGTCAGCCTGGTTTACAGGGCAAATTTGAGGACAACCAGGGATACACAGATAAACCCTGTCTCAAAAACGAAGGGAAGGAGGGAGGAAGGAAGAGAAGGAAGGAGGAAGAGAGGGAGGGAAAAAGGAGGGAGGAAAAAAGAAAGATACTTCCTAGGTTTCTCTAACTTTAAACATACAACTCAAAACAGGGGGTTGGGAATCTATAGTTTAAGTTGACAACTAATCACCCTACCCGCAAAATACCTGGAACATAGGAAAAAGAGAATTCCTAAAATTCAGAAAGATGCTCTAGATACAAAAAACAAAGGCAGTCTTGAACTCAAGGTATGGCAGTTATCATATCTACATAATATTTTTCATTGTGCAAAATATTCTCCCATTGTCTCTAGGCGATTTTGTCTCCATGAAAACTCCTGGAGTCCAATGGATATTTTATCACTTTTTTCAGTTGGCAGATTCTGGCCATGCTGGGTAGATGATCACAAAAGTACCCAGTTATCAATAGGATTCGGTATCTAAAATTCCAATCTCACTTTCTCATGCATTGACCCAGTACACAGTCAAGTCCCTCGTGTTTGCGAGAGTTTTATGTTTTTTTTTGTTTTGCTTTGTTTTATTTTATTGGGATTTTTTTTGTATGTTTGTTTGTTATTTTGGTTTGTTTTTGGTTTGTCGTTGTTGTGGTTGTCTTGCTGGGTTGAAAGCACACCGCCCAGTGGATGTTAGGTCCTTTGTTATTGTTGTGCTACTTTGAGACAGGGTACTGGCCTGAAACTCAGTTTCGTCTCGCTTCTGCCCAAGTTTGATCTTTAATCGGTTTCTAAAGTTTAGTTTACATAATTGCCTTTATTGTTTCAGGAATGCACATAGCAATAGCAATCATTAGTGAAACAATAGAATTTTGTTTTTCACAGCTTCTGGAACCCAGCATGTCCGGCTTCCATCCGTATAAACCCAGGCAACTGGAGTCACAGCTGCAGAAAACGCTAAAGCGATTGTCTTCCTGCCCTTCTGTATTTGGAGACCTAGCCAAGGCCGTCCTTGACTCTCCTGCCTCACCCACTCGAGTGCTACAGTCACTGGAATATGCGACTAAAGAAGCACAACACCTACACTTCTTATTGGGCTTTGAAATTGTAGCCCCAACGCCCACAGCCTGGGGGTGGGCGGAGCCTTGTCCTCGGGAAAACTCGGCGGTGGGAGGGGTCTCCTCTCGAAGAGCTTCCGGAACCTTTCGGGCAGAGGCGGAGTCTTCTGCCGAGGGCCCTTCGGAAAGAGGCGGAGCTTATCTCGCATCAGGACCAGTCCGACTGCACCTGCATCCTTAGCTCAGAGCATCCCAGGAGCATCTAAGAGGAAAGCGCAGCTAGCAACCAGGGATCCGACTGTCGCAGGGGCAGTCTGCCAGGCACCTTCCCCTCCCCTGATCCGGAGGTCTACAGCCGCGGCCTCGGTACTCACCGAGATTCCCAAAGTTGTCTGACCTCTGCAAAAGTGTTGCTACCAACAGCCTCTGATTACAACATGGCTGAGATCACAAATATACGCCCCAGCTTTGGTAAGTAGAGTCTGACAAACTAATTTTGAGGCTATCAGTGCCGGCGCAAAGCCAGGTAGCTGAGGAATTGGCGGGGAGTGAAGTCCAGATGGGAGCCTCTAGTTGCCAGCCCTGCTAGAATAGGGTCTGAGGTGGTGAGTGACTCCAAGGCAGGCAGTGGACAGCGCCTGGGTTTCAGCTTTGGGCTGCAGAGGTGGCAAGGCCGGAGTGCCACGGAGGGTAGGCAATCCGGGATGCTAAAACCTTGACCGTAAACCCTTGGTGCACTGTCAGCACGGCTGGAGGTGAGAAACGGCAAGCATGCGGAGGATGTGAACCCACCTTCTGGAGGAAGAGAGGTGGGGTAGTTCGAGCCCTCCCCCTTGGGGCATGCAGGGCGGTGCCCCTTTCCTCCCCCTCCTACTTCTGAGGGCTGCAGGAGAGGGAAGCGGCAAGGGGGATGGGGCCTCAAGATGGCAGCGTGGAGACTATGGGCTGTGTGGCTGGCAGCCAAGGGAGGCGGAGGCCTCCAGGGAAAGAAGGGTGCGGGGGTGGGGAGCAAAAGGGAAGCCACTCCTTAGGCCGGTCAGTGGGTTGCTAGGGCTGGGGTAAAATGCTAGCCCTGCAAGCTTCGTTCTGCACCGTAATGGTGAGGTCCTTGCCGGTGTTACCAAATGGCGCTTGGCGCTGCCGGGCGGAGAGATGACGTGATGTCTATTTCTGAGACTCCTGGCAGTGCCTAGGCGCCCCTTCCGGGGCCTTTGTTCCCTGTTTCCCTGGTCTAGTTTTTCAAAAAGGGGACTCACCCCTTCTGGTGTCGGCGGGGGCAGCATTACTGGCTTGGGGGAGGGGCGAGAGCGGCCCAGCTTGGGGGAGGCCGCTTTGTGTACCACAGATAGCATTACGTCATCTCGGAGCGGCTGGTCCACGACCTAGCCCTCTGGGTTCCAACAGCAGTTTTACACTCCCTAGGGCAGAAAGTGCAGTGGAAAAGAAGTCAAGAGAGCCTTGGCCAAGTCGTTTCCTCTTGGGGAACTCCTCCAAAGCGAACTTCTCATGTAGGGGTTCCTGACCACATAAATAAGTAAATAAAATTGCCTTGTAATTGGGGTAATCAAGTGAGAGTTGCTGCAAACCTAGAACCTTGCTAATCCTTAAGTGAGTCTATCCTTTAGACAATCCAAATGTGAGCACTAGGTTCCAGAATTTAGGGTGGAGGCACAGCCAGCTTTAAAAATGTCTTTTTTCACTCCCAAGGAAGAGGTATAAAGAATAGAACAGAACCTAATGTTCTATACTCTCTCAACATTGTAAGACATCAGATCAGAGCAAGCAACCAGACAATGGATCCTCACACCCCTCAGTGCTTGTTCCCGTTTGACCCCAAGTCTGAATCTCATTGTATTCCTTTTGCTTTGCCCTCTGTCTCTATCCTTTGAGTCCTGAGTTCCCCAAACTGAAACCTGTTTTGTGATCACATGAGAAACCCAAGATTTTCTTCACACTCTTTTTCTCCTCACACCCTCTTTCCAGCAGAGTCCTTCCTCTAAGTGCAATTCCAGAGCCCTTTGAAAATAGAGGAAACCCAGCCCAGCCTCGTGCTTTCCTTTAGGAGACACTAGTAGAAATTGGGGGCTGAGGGTATATTACACCTTTTATGTCCTGTATTGTTTGTAATCTTAGCATGTCTTCCAGTGTAGGTATGATTATGTGCACTCTCCAGACCAGGAGAATGAACCTTGGAATACAATGAAGTCCAAATGAACTAGTCATGGTAGCACTAGGGTTTGAACCAATGCCTGACTGCTGCCCTAGTCATTCTGATTCTGCTGTAGGACACTGGCCTTAGTGACAGTGAGAGGCTGTGTTTCGCCAAAGAAGAGTCAGTAATGAGGTGTGAGACTGAAGGAGTAGCTCAGAGGAAGAATGTACACCTGAGTGGTGCAAAGGTTCTTGGCAGGACCACCAGCCCTGAAAAGCAAAAACAAATCCAACACTGACTTGGTGATGTGTGCATGCCCAGCCTAGGAGACCAAGTTCAAAGCCAGCTTATCACCACTTCCGACTTCTAAGCCAGACAGGGCAATCTAATGACACTGGTCTCTAGAAACAAAGCATCCAGGAATGCTGGCTCAAGGCACTTTATCCCAGCACTCGGGAAACTGGGGTAGAATTGTCGTGAGTTCAAAGTAAGCCTGGGCGGGGCAGTTGTGACACACACCTCTAATCCCAGCACTTGGGAGGCAGAGGTAGGTGGATCTCTGTGAGTTCGAGACCAACCTGGTCTACAAGAGCTAGCTGCAGGACAGCTTCCAAAAGCCACAGGGAAACCCTGTCTCAAAATACCAAAAAAAAAAACCCAAAAAACAAAAAACAAAGTAAGCCTGGGAATATATTGAGTTCCAGCCAGCCTGGGCTAGATAGGGAAGCCTTGCCTTAATAAAATAAAACAAGTTGGATGGTGGTGGTGCACCCCTTTAATCACAGCACTGGGGAAGCTGAGACAGGCAGATCTCTGTGACTTGGAGGCCAGCCTGGTCTGCTGAGCAAATTCCAGGAAACCTACAGAGAATCCCTGTCTGGGAAAAAAAACAAAACAATAAATAAATAAAACAAAATAAAAAGTGATCCAGACATGGTAGCTCACACAGTAATGCTAGCACTGGGAGTGTAGAGGTTATAGGAAATCAGAATTCAAGACCAGGGCCAGCAAAATGGATCAGTATGTAAAGCTCTTGGCTCAAACCTGACACCCTGAATTCTAGCTTTAGATCCTCCATAAAGGTGGAAGGAGAGAAAACTCCACAAAGTTGTCTTTTACCATCACACACACACACACACTGTTGTCATGTCTCACACATACATATAGTAATGTATAATGTATGAACATATATTAATTTTTTTAATGTGAAAAAGAATTCAAGGCCAGTTTGAGGATAGGGTGGGCTACACAAAACTCTGTCTCAAAAGAAGTCAAACAACAAAACAAAAATGCTCAGGGGGCTAAAGAGTTAGCTCACCAGTTAAGAGCACTTTTGCTCTTCCAGGGAACTCAAGTTTAATTCCCAGCACTCACAGACAGGTTCACAGCCATTATAAATCCAATCCCAAGAAATCCAGTGCCCCTTCTGAGTTTCACAGCCATCAGGCTCACACATTGTATACATGCATACTTGCAAGCAAATCACTCATGCATAAATAAATATTAAATGAAATTAGATTTCAAATATTCTTTCTTTTTATTGTTGTTGTTTTGTTTTTTGAGACAGGGTTTCTCTGTGGCTTTGGAGGCAGTCCTGGAACTAGCTCTTGTAGACCAGGCTGGTCTCGAACTCACAGATATCTGCCTGCCTCTGCCTCCCAATTGCTGGGACTAAAGGTGTACGCCACCACTGCCCGGATAAATTTAAAATATTCTTAAAGAAATGAAATAACCTAAATTTTATTAAAATTCTGTTCTGAGCAAAGGCTAAAGTACTTGGGACTATCTCATATGTGTCTCCAGATCCCTAGACTCTTTCACGTTGCCTCCTCCAAAGAAAACTCTTTTTCATTTGTTATGAAGTACTTTAAACACTGTCACATGACAGAGGGCATACCAGGCCAACATTGAATGACCCATGACCTTTAAATACAAAAAGTAACCAATTGGTATCACTATAATCTACATGCACTTTATTGGTTGAACCATTCAATCACTCTGTGGGTTGCAGAAAAGGGACCACCTCAGGTGTCAGTCCTTACCTTTCCACTTGTGTGAAAGAGGGTCTTGTTATATTTCTTGTTTTTTGAGACAAGTCCTCAAAATGTAGCTCCAGCTGTCCTTGACTAGGTGAAGTATATTAGGCTGGCCTCAACCCCACAGTCACCTGCCTTTGCCTCTTGACTGTTCAGATTAAATGTGTTCACCATCGTATCTGGCTATTTATGTTTTCTTCCTTTTCTCTCTCTCTCTCTTTCTTTCTCTCTTTCTTCCTTTCTTTCTTCTTTTCTTTCTGGTTTTTTGTTTTTGTTTTTAGTTTCATTTGGTTTGGTTTTTGAGACACTATCTCTCTATTTAATTAGGGCTGACTTGGAACTCACTCAGGATGGCCTCAAACTCACAGAGATCCTCCTGCCTCTGCCTCCAGAGTGCTGGTATTAAAGGATTACACCACCACAGCCAACACGCCCTTTTTTATTTTTCTACTGTGTATGGCAGGCTAGCAGACCCATGAGCATCTGGAGATAGCTGTCTTCCCATAGGACTGCTAGAAACACAGATACCACCAGCAAACCCCAGCAATGCAGGCAAGCATTCTGTCAACTGAGCTCCATCACCAGCCCCACGGCTGCTCTAAAACACTCACTTCAGTCCTTAGTTTCAACTTCCTTTCCCCAAAGCTTCTCATTAGAGCAAGAGAGAGGGCCCTGAATTTCAACATTCACTATTTCTAGTTCACTGTCTTAGGTGTTAGGGACAGAAGGAGAGACTCGGAAATGAAAGTGAGTGCAGGGCAGAAGTGAGAAATGGGGAGGCACCTGAATTAGCCACACACAGGCTACCTGCCTTACTTCCTCCTCAGTCCTCCTGAAGGATCACACTACCTGAATTAGCCACACACAGGCTACCTGCCTTACTTCCTCCTCAGTCCTCCTGAAGGATCACACTACCTGAATTAGCCACACACAGGCTACCTGCCTTACTTCCTCCTCAGTCCTCCTGAAGGATCACACTACCTGAATTAGCCACACACAGGCTACCTGCCTTACTTCCCTCCTCAGTCCTCCTGAAGGATCACACTACCTGTCTTTTCTCTTTTCCACCTATCTTCATTTCTCAACAAAAACTGATGCATTGTAAGTAGCAGTAGGTTCCCCCAATGACACCACAGAGTAGAGCCAAAGACCTGTGCAGATGTCTCACAGTCTTGGCTTTTAGCCTTCCTTTTCAATTTACTCTCAAAAATACCTGCCTCTGGCCAGCAAGGTAACACAGCAGGTGGAAAGCTCTTGCTGCCAAGCCTGATGACCAAGATTCA